GACTTGTGAACAGCTGTAGCAACTTTACTCATAAAAAGAACCAAGAGCTGGAAATAATCTGAATAGCTACTGTGGAAAACAAAACGTGTGGCTCACACCTTTAGTCCCAGCACTTGGGAGGCAGAGGCAGGCCGATCTCTGAGTTCGAGGCCAGCCTGGTCTACAGAGTGAGTTCCAGGACAGCCAGGGCTACACAGAGAAACCCTGTCTCAAGAAACCAAAATCAACCAACAAACCAAACAAACAAAAACAAGTATAAAAAAGTATTATGTTGGGCTGCAAAAGATGGGCTTTCTAGAATGGGTTTTATCCCTTGGTACTGAAAACAAAACCAATAAAAGAGAAAACTCAGCCCCCCCCCCCAAACAACAACATTAAGAGGAAGGCTAGGATGAAGGGCACACCCACAGGACTCTAACGTAGAAGGTATTAGTAAGGGAGAACGAGACAGAAGCAGAGCAGGAGGTGTCAGGAGCCAGTCCTTGGCAGCAGCTGCAAAAGGCACAAACGTTCTGGGCTAACAGAAATATTCTGCATGATTTCAGTAGTGATTCCATAACTGCCCATTTGTGAAAACTAGCAAAATTAGAATGAGTTAACTTTAAAATGGGTGAATTGTACTGGACACAAAAAAAGCTAAGAAGCTGCTTTTCAGTGGGCGGTGGTGGCACGCACACCTTTGATCCCAGCACTCCGGAGGCAGAGGCAAGTGAGTCTCTGTGAGTTCAAGGCCAGCCTGGTCTATAGAGTTCTAGGATAGCCAAGGCTACAGAAACCCTTTCTTGAAAAACAAAAACAAAAAGCCATTTTTCATAATATGGAATGGAGCAAGATACTGACTCTCTAAACTCACAAACCACTAGATTTGGGCCAGCGAGATGGCTCAGCAGGTAAAGGTACAGAAGACAACATGCGTTCTACCCCCAGGACCCACAGGGTGGAAGGAGAGGCATCCCCTGAATTGTCTCTATCTGCACGCTTGCATGTGGCAGAATCACGCCAGCCTCCCTGTCCCAGTATACAAAGAAATAAGTCGCTTCAAAACAAGAAATCGTTTCTAGACTCATCTTACCGAGCCCAGGGATCCCTGAGCCCTCGTGCAGCAAGCTTCTTCTGGACAGTTTCTAATGGCGTCCCTTCTATTTTCCACTGTCTGTAATCTGGAAGTACCAACTTATCATGACCATGACCATGTCCGTGTCCGTGATCATGTCCATGCCCAGCTGCCATGTCTATAGGAAAAAAGTAAAGCAGAGAGACAGAGGTTGTAGATATCCAAGAGCCAAATTTGATGTTTACATTTCAAGTTCAAGAGATGTTTTGAAAAAAGATAAATACCTGAAAATTCTGAGTAGAAAGCTTTTATAAAAGTATACTATTATCACTTGGGAGGAAGAGGCAGGTGGAGCTCTGTGAGTTCCAGGCCAGCAGGGTGACATAGTGAGACTTTGTCTCAAAAAAAAAAAAAAAAAAAAAAAAAACCACCCCAAAAAAGTATACTATTGCATAACTAGTGTATGCTCACATTTAGGAAATACACATATACAAAATATGGAAATGTAAACTGAGTAATCCCACCACTCAGATACCTGCTTACTACTTATTGTAACAGTAACACTTACTAAGCCTTTATGTGCCAGGTACATGAGACTTTATAGGTATTAACTGTACTGCTTTCTAAATAACTTTGAATTTAAATTAAAAATACAGATTTTTTTTTTTTCTTGACCTGGTGGCTCACAAATTTAATCCCAGAGGCAGAGGAAAGCAGATCTCTGAGTTCTTCTAGGCCAGCCTGGTCTACATAGTGAATTTCAGAACAGCCAGGACTATGTAGAGAGACTCTTGTCTTACAAACAAACGAGAAAAAACAAAACAAAACCCAACCAAATTAAAACAAAATAGAAAACAAGCAAACCACTTTTTATAGATGAAGGCAATGAGACTCTTAGCATTAACTTCCTGAAGATAAGAAGATAGTCAATGCTGTAATTAGTATTTCAAGGTTGCATGTTAGTCTCAGAAGCCTTCTCCTAAAAACACCTAGATAACTCCCTCTCCCCACCTTTCATCTGTTTTTCAAGATAGGCTTCTCTGGGTAGCTGTGGCTGTCCTGAAACTCAGTCCCAGAGATCCTCCTGCCTCTGCCTCTGGAGTGCTGGGATTATTGTTATTTCAAAATAGCCATAAATCAAACAATAAAATCTCAAATGTTTGATGGAAGAGGTTAAAATTATCATCTTTTGACCCACTAATAGCTACAAATTCAAGAGACTCACTTCATCTTTCTGGACTTCTATTTCTTCACATAACAAGGATAAAAAAAAAATCGACCTTGCAAGACTGAGAAATGCAGAGAACACACTGTAGCGTGCCTTCCATTTTCACATCCAAGTGGTAAGACTATGACTGAGCACAACTATTCTGAAAAAACTGGCATGACCTAGAAAATGGAACATTTGCTGGGTCTGGTGGCATATGCCTTTAAACCTTGCACTGGGGTGGGGGGAGGGAGGCAGGTGGATCTCTGAGTTCAAGGCCTGCCTGGAATACAGAGCAAGTTCCAGGACAGCCAGGGCTACACAGAGAAAACCTGTCTGGGGGGGGGGGGCGGGATTCGAATACCTACAGCCACCACTTCCTCTCCTGGATCTGTGCTCTTTGTTAGGTAGCCACTGACATTTGGAATGTGGCTATGCAGCTAAAGAACTGGGAATTTTAATTAATTTAAATTTCAAAGTAGATTCTTTTTTAAAAGATTGTGTGTGTGTGTGACATGCACGGGAGCGAGGCCAGAGGGAGTTTTGGATTCCCTGGAGCTGAAGTAATAAAATGAGTGAGTGTGAGCTGTCTGATGTGGGTGCTAAGAAGTGAACTCAGGTCCTCTGGAAGAGTAGCAAGTATCAAAGCAATTCTAAAATCAATTATAAGAAAATGCTAAAGGATCTTTGGAATTATCTGGGTGTATGAATGTTTTGGTTTTTTTTTTCCCCTGGAGCTGAGGGCTGAACCTCGGGCCTTGTGCTTGCTAGGCAAGCGCTCTACCACTGAGCTAAATCCCCAACCCTGAATGTATTTTTTCAACCTTATAAAATTATAAAACACAAACACAGACCCAGTATTTATATTTATGAAAATAATATATGTGTATATACTATATATATAAAATACAAACATTTTAAAGACAGTATGAAATGTAGAATAGTTCATTAATGATAGAGTGTGCGCAAGACAGGTTTCTCTGTGTAGCCCTGGTTGTTCTGGAACTTGATCTGTAGACCAGGCTGGTGTTGAACTCAGAGATCCGCCTGCCTCTGGCCTCCTAAGTGCTAGGACTAAAGGCATGTGCTACACAGGCTACCATGCTTGGCTTCCCAGTATATCTTTAAATGAGGATATGTTTAATATATTAGATGATATTGTTTTTACTTTTAGTGTGAGCTAGAAAATTTACTATTATGTATGGGGCTTCCATTACATTTCTATTGGACATCATTACTTGAGAGAAATTTCTGTATGTATATGACAAGGAATATGTTTTATCAGACTTTTTTCTGAATGAAACACATATACCTTTATCACTGGGGTAGGCGCCACCCCATCTTACATGAACACTGTTTCATTTACTTGAGACAGTCTTATCTAATTCAGTCTGACCTCAAACTTGATATGTAGTCAAGGATGACTTTGAACTCTCTATCCTTCTGTCTCTCCAAGTGCTAGGAGTACAAACCTGTGCATAAGCCCAGTTCCTATTTTTAAAAGAATCTTTATTTAAAGCCTTATTTATTTGGGTGTGCATGTGCCCACGTAAAGGTCGGAGGACAACTTAAAGGAACTGGTTCTCTCCTCATACAACGGGGGAAATGAGTTGTAATGCATTGAGGATTCAACGACAGCAAATTATTTCACTTTTAGAACTACTCATTTAAGAACAGTAAAGAAATAAATTCAACAAAGAACGAACATACAATTATAGAGAATGTAAACGCTCTCTGCTTATGTCAGAAGTCAACTTATTAGTTAGACGGATGATCAACCCCCGCTAAAGGTGGCCTGTTCTAGCACAGGAAGTGTTGACTTACTTTCCCTAAGGAATGCTACTTCCACTACATGTAATTTTACTGTTTACCAAGGGCTTTCAAGTATATCACTCCAATTTCCCTCACTCAGAAACTGAGGTGACCATAGAAACCTAAGAAAATAAAGACAAATGAAATGCTATTACTTTTAGGACCCCAATCCTCAACCCTAGGAATATGCACTAGACGTGATTTTGTGAGGCATCCGCTGGATTTTTTTCTAGTTTAAGTATTGTCGGATGGGGGGGGGGGCTGTTCTTTATCCAAATACAACCCCAAAAGCCAGGAGGCGAGGAGACAATTGCATGTGGCGGCGGCGGCGGCGGCGGGGGATGGGGGTCAGGGGGCATCTTTGGGATTTAACTCTCACGACGGCAATTCTCAGGGCATCCTCCGTCCGCCTCCGCTCCGCTCCGCTGCACTGGGGGGGCCGCGCTCCCCTCCTCCCGGCCCGCGCTGCTCCCTCTCAGCACGCTCGCTCCCTTCTGCACGTCCCTGGACACAGCCTCGATAATTCCTCATCCAGAGGTCTCCCACCAAACTCCCTAAATTACCTGACAGCAATCTGACCTCTCAAGACACTCAACGTTCAACCTTCCAGCTGGAGCCAACCGGAAACGGACGCGTTGCCTCCCCGAGTTCCTTACGGCAGGAAAGCGGAGGAGATCGTACCAGCGTTCCGGTCCGGGCGCAAAGCTCCCCAGACAAGGTAGAGAGGACCTGAGAGAGGAGCCTGGAAGTTGATAGTGTGTGATCGCGTGTGTGTCCCACGCTTTGCCAGCCCGGAAGCCGACCGGGCTAGGCGGCACCGAGGAGGAGAAGGGTAGGGAAGCCGTGTTTTTTCCCTGGCTCCCGGGCGGAATCTTTCGGCGGCGCACCGAGGGGGTGGGGCTGGGAGGGGGCGGGCCAAGGCCGCGGCGCAGCCAATGGGAGCGGCTGTTGTTAAGCGCGTGGGCCCAGTCAATGAGAGGGCTGGTTGTTGTGCTGCAGTTGGCAGGCTGCTGCGGGAGGCGGTGGCGGTCGGAAGCCTGAGGCTGCGGGGTGACAGGTAGGCGGCGGAGCCGTCCGAGGGTGCAGCGGGGTGGGGGGGCGCCGCGCTCAGTGCCGGGGGTGGAGGGAGGAGGAGGGCTTTCTTCTCCGGCTGCGGACGCGGTTAGCCCGGGGAGCTGACGAAGGTGTGCCGGAGAGGCGGCAGCCGGACCCCGAGCCCTGCAAGGCGGACCCGGGAGCCAGCTCGTCGGGAGGGTCGTGAGCTGCCGAGGCGGGTCGGGGCTGAGTGTTGGTGGGGGGCGACTTGGGGGGTGGTGGTGGGGCTCGCAAGGGCGTGAAGGGTGTCGGTGGCGCGGGCTGAGGCGGGAGCACGGCACAGGTGGTGGGGGGGCTGAAGGGATTTCTTGCAAGGGAGCCTCAGGCGGCAGAAGGGCACCTGAGTGGAATCCTAGGGGTTGTTGCTTCTGAGGGCCGCTTCCTGGGGTAGGGAGCGGTGCGGAGGAGAAAAGGTATGCCTCGGTGGTCAGGTCTGGAAACTAGTGGCTGGCTGTACATTCATTATGTAACCCCGGGCGATGATCGTCCCAAACAACTCCACCGACCCTCGTGGGAGAGGAGCCCTTGCAGCCCATTGATAGCTGCGAACACTTTCTTGTTATTGCTGGCCTCAGTGTGTTCTACCCAGGCAGGCTCCGGAGGAGGAGGAGGGCATGAAGGCAAGAGTAGTCACGAAGCGCTCATCCCAAATAAGGACTTGGGTTGAGAAACTGACACGACGTTAGCTTGGGATGAACGCCTTGTAGTACACGAATTTGCTGCTTTGCAGCTCAAAACTGATAGACTGTCTAACCCCCAGACAAATCTATAGAGGACGGTAAATGCACATCAGAAAGGGAACGGTGAATTAGTTGGTAGACAACTTGCCCCCAATGTTTGGATGCTAAAGACTATGAAAATGAGATGGGAATCTAAACAGAGGATTGTCATCTTTTTAAGTGATTTGCTTTGTTAAGTCTGAGAAGCTAGTTGTGAGTTGTTTCTTAGATTTAAAAAATAAGGTCTTTCAATGTCTTAGACTTAGATAAAAATGTATTTACAATTTAAAGAGTATTTTGATTTGAGAAGTCTTTTAAATTCACGGTTTGAATGGTGAAATACAGTACCAAGAGAAACAAACCCCTGTCGGCGTGTATTGTAGAAAGGCATTTGATTTTTGTAACTCATTGGAAAACTAACCTTAAAAGACTGGAAAATATTTTTTAAAAGCAGCACTATAAATTACTGAAATGTAAGCTGCGTGAGATGCTGCCTTCAAGTTAGAAGATGAAGATAAATGTAGTATCAGGAAGTGTCTTTCTGGGCTTGTTTTTGAACTACATGTCAGGAAAACTTTCTAAGATCTGATTTTTTTCCCCTACTATTGGTCATTTATGTTAGTACATATAAAATGAGAATTTTGGGGTTTTTTTCCTCTCAGAATATCATTTGAAAAGAAATGGGTAGTTAGAATTTGTTTTGGAATGTCCATCGCACTGAGGTATTTGTTAGTGCTTTAAGTAAAATTTAAAAATATTTGTGTTTCATTCCTTGTCTTTTGTCTTTTTACAAGAATAATGCTATCTTAGTCACAAAGAAAACTCATATTTTTGCTTTAGGTGGAATGCTTTAATGCTTTCCATACCTGGAAACAAATCTTTGCCTTTAGGTAGGTTGATTTAAGAGAGAGTGTGTGTGTTTCTGTGTGTTTCTCTTATGTAACCAGCCTACTCTAGCTATCTTAGAGAACTAATGGCTGATTTTCAGTGGCCAGTAGGTGTCATTGTAGAATGCCAGAAATCGAACAGGCAGTAGGGAATTACCAAATAGTTTAAGAAACACTATCCCAAATTATCATCTAATAGCGTCTGGATGATTATTTATAAATTATAAGAGATTGTGATTTCTGTGTCAACGCTATTTGTAAGTAATTTGAAACATTGATTGTAAGGAAATATTGCTTGCTTCAAAATTGATCTTGAAAGTTTTGTTTTTTAATATAACTCTTAATCCGTCTTTTTTTTTTCTTCCAGTCTCACTATGTAGACCAGACAGGCCTTGAACTCACAAATATCCACCCACCTCTGCCTCCTAAGTATGGGAGTTAAAGGCCTGTGCCATCACAGCCAGTCCCAAAAGCTGTCTTAATAGGCAGTGTGGATTTGTTTCATTGCTACTAGTATACAGCTTTGACATCTCTTTGTCAAATATATTGTAGTGTATTAAGTTCTAGAATGATTTTCATCCTAAGCTTTATTATAGAAAAACACAGTACTACATAATTAAAAACTAAAATGATATAACATAGGCAGAAGCCTCGATCAAGTTGTATTGTCAGCTACACAAAACAATATTTTGCTGTTCTTTTAATGTCTGTCATTATTTGTTTCCTTTACCCACCCCCAGAATAGATTCCTTTTACATTTTTACCTGGTTAGTAGACCATGGACTTTTTCCCATTACAGGAACTGGATACTTCTCAGTGTCTAAAATGTAATAGAGTGGATTCCAGTGAATGCTGGCCAGAAATCTGTGAAGATGGTTTACACCTACTGTTTATACAGTTCTCTGCTGCCCCAGCCTTCTGATGAGCTTGTCCCTTTTTCCAGCTCCGTTTCTTATGCTTGCTGTTAATATAGTACTTTCAAAAAGGGATCTCCAGGACCCACGTAAATGCCAGATGGGCGTTGGTGGCCAATCCGTAATCCCAACGCTTAGGTGGCAGAGACAGAATCACCAGTGCAAGCTGGCTGTTGGACTAATCAAACTGGCAAGCCTTGGGTCAGCTGAGCATGCCTCAGCGTATGTAAGGTGGAGAGTGGGTGAGGGAGACAGTGGCATCAACCTCTGACCTTCACCTGCACACTCACCTGCCCATGTGTGCACCCACATACAGCAGCCACACACCACATACATGCACACAGTACACACAAAAGAATCAGACCTACTTTGAGAATTCTCTGTGAAGATAGAAGTATCTCAAAAATAGTCCAGAAGGTTTTTTTAGTTTTTAAAAAAGGGGACACATGCATATATTTTATCTATGCGTCCCTTTAGAATCTTGGTATAAAGGAGGTAGATGCATTTTGCAAGGAAAAAGAAATCCCTGAATGCTTTGGTTTGTATCTGGCCTACACTTTAGAATCTTTGCTCCAGTTCCGCTTCTGTCACTTGGTGGTATGAGCCAGTAACAGCCGCTTTAGCTGAGTGAACCAGCTGCCAGATCTCCCAGTAGTTTATAGCTCGATAAACTGTTTTCGTTTAATGTCACAGCTAGGGCAGCTTTTCCAGCCAAAGATAAAGATGTGCCGAATGGTTTGGTTTGAATTAGTCTTTACTTGGCACTGAACTGCTTTCCATAAGTCAAGCAAATTTCTTTCACAGATTAGTCCTGTACTAATTAATTTGCACAGGTAGTTACTTATTTTGTTTTCCTAGTGTCAGAAAACTATAGTGTCCTTGAATTAAATTAAAATTGGGAAATAAGAATTGCAAGTTTAGCCTGGTGGTGGTAGTGCACGACTTTAAATCAGGCACTTGGGAGGCAGCAGCAGGAGGATTGAGTACAGAGGCCAGCCTGGGCTACAGAGTGAGTTCTAGGTCAGCCTGGGCTACAGAGTGAGTTCTAGGTCAGCCAGGGCTACACAGAGAAACCCTGTCTCGAAAATCCAAAATAAATAAATAAATTTAAAAAAGAATTGCACGTTTACTTGATTAAACAGTTTTCAGCGGAACTTTGATATAATTATGTAGATTGATATATGAACAATATTCACTCAATAATATGTAGTAAACTTAGAATTGCAAATCTTTTGACCTTAACATGGGTCAAGTTTAGAAATTCATGGACTTTAGAACTAATGTTTCAAGATCTGGCTCTTTGGAGACAAGTATGAAAAGAAGTAAATGGGAAGGAGTGTAAATCCAGATGTGTAATATATAAAGTGGTGTGATTTAAGTATTCACAAAATTATAATAATTTTTAGGTTTGAGGATTAGCTGCCAAAATAATAGTCACAGAATATGGTAAAGGGCACTGACATTGACCGGTAAAGGAGGGTCACCGAATGGTCATTTTGTTATAGAGTAACTGTACCCTTCAAAAAACTTTAAGTTAATTCATTGTCCGTCACGTGACTTTCTCCCCTGCTTCTTTTTTTCTGAGACCGGTATTACTGTGTGGCTCTGGCTGGCTATGAATTCATTCATAATTATCCTCCCCTTTCCAGAGTGCTGGCATCATGGGTGGCGCTAACCTCACCTGGCTGTATTTTCTCTTTTATCATCTTTTTAGTGTACTGAAGCTGGAATCCTGATGTTTTCTTGGCTGTTGTTTGCTTTTGCTTCTGGGTTATTTTGAGATGGGGATTCGCTAGTAGTCCAAGCTGGATTTGCCTTTGCCTTCTGAATGATGGAACTACAAGCATGCTTCATACTTGGTTTTATAATGTTTCCTTTAACATTTTGAGACTGAAAATGTAGCTCTGTCGGGTAGAATGTTTGGCTAGCTTCAATTCCTAGTACATCATAAACCAGACATGGGAGCATACGCCTGTGACCCCAGAGTTTAGCTGCAGCAAGTCTGAGGTCGTCTCATCCTAGGCTACGTGAGGCCCTGTCTCAAAAACAACCAAGAAACAAAACAGTCAAGATTTTATTTATAGATCTTTTATCTAAGTAATCCTTTGGTCTTTGAAAAATAATTTGTTACTGTTTATGCACACATGCTTTTGGCAGGGATGTGTGTGTGTGTGTGTGTGTGTGTGTGTGTGTGTGTGTGTGTGGTCAGAGGACAGCTTTGAAGTTCTCTTCCCCTGTGGGTCCTAGGCGATCAAACTCAGGCTTACAGGCAAGCACTTTCTACCCTCTGAGACATCTCATAGATATTCTTGGTTCTACTGGTTTTTTCTTTTAGTTTATCATTTACTTAGTTTTGAGTCATGATCTCATGTCCTGAATACTGGCCTTGAACTTCTGATCTTGCCTCAATCTCTCAAGTGCTGGGATTACAGCTATGTGCCA